TCCCATCTTGAACTTTCATCAATATAATGACTTTGCACCTTACAGGCTCAAGAGATTCAAATGTCCTTCAGTGTCCTCTTGAGCCGTCGGTAACCTTTTCCCTCTCTGATGATACTTTGAATATTATGAACATGTTTGATTCACCTATGCTATTATCAAGAATTCAATGTATCTACTTGTCTTTTTTTTTTTTTTAATGTCAAATCCTAAACAAAATGATGATTTTTGAACTTTTCAAAGATGTTGAAATCAATGTCAAATGCAGTGATGTTTAAGACAATCATGAGTAAGATTAACGAAAAATCTTGTGAAGCACAATGGATTATATGAACAAATAATGTGATTTAACTTCCATGAGTACAACTGCCAATTTGACCTAGAACACAATTAAGATGCCCCTTTCATAAATTTTCTCTTTCTCTCTTTTCTCTCTCTCTCTCTCCTCCATTCTTTTTTTTTTTTTTTTAAAGCAACTCCCAAAACACAAGCTTCTTTTCTCACTTTTTGCTTTTGAATCTTCCTCTCTCTCTCTTTTTTTTTTTTTTTTTCAAAAAGAAATTGATCCCATTTGAGCAAATTCCTCAAGAATAGCTTTGTAAGAATTTTAGATAGTGAAAGTGCCAAGTGGAATCTTGAGCTTTCCAAAAATCAAGATTTTGGCTAGAGAATGAAATTTTCCTTCCCATGAAATCTCAACTTGTTTGCCACATTTATTTCTATTCACCTTCCTTCTTTCTTCTTCTTCTTCTTCTTCTTCTTCTTCTTCTTTTTGAGAAATATCATACTCAGATTCAATAGCTTTCAAATTCTCTGATAAGGGCTTTGAATAAGCTTGTATCATGGTCTAAGGCTTGGCTAATTAGAAAGAAAGGACATATAAGCTCAATGATAAAATCCCTTCTGCCCCCCCTAATTTCACTCTTCACACCCCAGGTTCTTGATGCAGGTACATTCAAAGAAATAATCATCTTGGCTTTTCTATTATGATGATTGCCTTTTCTTTTGGCTCAAAGTGGGTAACTAAGGTCAACTTTAGTGTTTGGGAAATAGAAACAAGGCCTTTCGTC